AATATATGCTGTGGATTCGAGTTCAGGGCTGTAGCTCGGCAGTTATGGGTCACCAGTTCAGCTAGACCCTGTTCGTGTCTCCGCGTGATTCTCAGAGCCTCCCTCCACCACTCACCAAATGTATTAATATTAGTAGAATGAATCTTCTGCTAAAACATGGAACCATACACCGCCATATGCGATGTCTTTTGTGCATTCTGTGAGTAGTGGAGCAGGCCCCACTGGACGTATTCGTAAGAAAACAAAAACAATAAAACGAGAGCGCCACGGGCGTCTTCATCCTAACCCATAACTGCCGAGATGCAGACCTGAACGCCAATCTTCAGCATATATTGGTGGTCGGCTAGCCACAGAAAATGTAACTTCTGATCTCTGCGAAAATTCGCGGGGGCCGGTCGTTATTAGGCAACTGCCCCTTTTTGCGAACTTACCCCACCACTGTGTGGGATTTGCAGAAGAGACCGGGAAGAACATCTTTCATACCCCGCCTAAAAAAAAAGATGGAATGAGCCCTATTTTTTGAAGTACTTTATGCGTCGCCATTCTGCAACTTTTGGCGGAAGGGCCTGCGGCAATCGAAATTTGGCAGGCCTTGCCCAAAAGAAAATTTTGAGCTTGGGGCGCGGCCGGTTTCTGAGCTCGCACGGTGAGTTTAACATTTTTGACTAGTTGGGGTCCTAAGAAATTACAAAACACCTACTCTCTTTTTTTTTTTTTTTTGTCGACCTAATTTTTCCAGTGCGCTGCGCTTCGGTGCGCTGCGCGCGGTGCGCAATTCGTGCGCAAATCCGCGCACCGAGGTGGGCCGCAACTATGAAACAAATACTTGCATGGGCTATGCCTTCATAATCCTCACGACACAAACCATGTGAATCACATGCTAGCTGAATCTCAGATGGGCCATCACAGAGTGGCACCGAGCAAGTTTCTTGGGTTTCCGTAGTCATCATTCCTCCTTCTATATGGGCGGGCGATGGCGAAGTCTGATCCGAAGTACGGGCGTTTAGCTGTTGCAAGATTTGGTCTGCAACAGCTCACCCTGGTGGTAATAACCTTTCAGTACAGCGCTCTGTAGGGGGTTCGTGTGATAGCCTATTTTCCTCGCCAGGCTCGTGTGTCTGTTGTCCATCTGGCAAGGAGGGAGGAGATACGATTGCAGGTGCAGCAGACAGTACATGTGGGACATGCTAGGAGAGGATTGGGCGGGTGATAGCAGCATCAGGGATACTCCACGGCACAGAGACGCGTACTTTCTATGAGAGCTTCCTGGAAACGTTGACGACACATGGCATGTTGCGGGCATGCCACCTGGAAAACAGGCTGATGTTCGCAACTATTTAAATCACCAGTACTTCAAAGCACTCCTGTACGAGACTAAAAGTGCCCTGCGCGCTGAACTTCGCTGAACTGCCAGTGCAACGGCTTTGTTTCCTTTTGGCTCATTGTCGTCCGGCAAGCCCGAAGCCCGCGTTGTGGCGCTGCACGACAAGGGTTCACGGCCGAGGTATAAGCCAAGTACTGGTGATTTAAGCATGGCATGGCAAGGCCACAATGATGGCATATCGGGCAAGTTATAAGGGTTGCGGGGGAGGAGTGCAAGCCAATGGGTTGCAGTTTTGGCGACAGAGGCTGACAGCAACCATCCCTTGTTTGGACCAGCGATTTTTTTTTATGTCGTGTGCATGCGTACCGAACTGTAACTGTGTGCAGACACAGTGGCGTCGAACACCCACCATACTCTAGAGAGGCCCCTTCACTATCCATGGGACGCTAGGCCTGGTTCCCAGCACGTTTCAAAAAAAAAGAAAAAAGAATCTGTCCGATCTACACAGGGAAGAAACGCTGCCTGGCCGTGTACAAGGGAGCGGGGAGGTTCAGCCAGACCACTCTCCGGAGGCAGCACAACTTGCGAGTACACATCCACGTACTATTCCTGATCAACCAGCCAAAGCGAGTGTGATTCTACCACTCGGTGAGACGAGTTAATATTTCCCATCGTGTGCCCTCTACCGCCATCGTCCCATGGGGTCCATGAATCGTCCACGAAGTTCGAGCCGCCATCGCCCATGGGGTGCATGAATTGTCCACAAAGTTTCGAGCACTGAAATGAAGTGGACGATGCACGATGTAGGAGTATTCGGGTCCACAAAGTCTGGCATGCGATTCCGTGGAGCGGGCGGGCTGGAATTGCAGTGGTCTTCCCATCAACGCTAGAGATGAAACTTCTATGTTCACGTTATAGGGGTTGCAATTGTGCGCGAGGAGAGGTACATTAAACCTCTAGTCCGTTTCCCGGCTATTGTGCAGCAATGCGCTGTGCATGCTGTCACATTAGGCAGGACGCACCGGGGTGCCGTTCGGTGCCCCGTTTCACATGCAACCAGTTTTCCCTGCTTGGATTTCTGGCAAAAAAAAAAAAAAAAAAAAAAAAAAAAAAAAAAAAAACACGACACCCCTGCACACATGAGCATGCACAACGCATTTCGGCAAAATGGTCGGGAAACATACAGGTGTTTTAATAACATGGTAGGCACAATGGCCTCGCTGTAGCACTATGAAATCGTTTGATGCGGTAGATTTCGGGGAGGTTCATTCCGGTCTTGACTGTTTCTGTTAGGTTCCTCCATCTGTAAAGGCCCCATTTGCTCTAGCATGCATTCTGGAGAGAGATTAATAGATCATGTATGGGAAGTCCATCAAAAGATCAGAAGGTGGAGCATTGTCAATTGGAGAAGGGGAGCCATCGGGCCTAGGTGATGAGAAGTGGGTGGAACAAGAAGCAGAAGCTGACCAGCCGCACTCTTGCTCTGCGTCAATAGCTGGCCGTCGTGCAAATGCTGCACATGTGGCTGCACCTCGTGTTTTGCGAAACTGTACAAATCATCACCACAGTGAGGGCATCAGACTCGGTATATACTATTCCTTGCTACCAGTTGCTAGTGTGTATTGGAAACAACAATGTCGTTCTGTACGGTTGTGAGCATGACATTGGAGTACATCTCTGAGCCTGGCCGGGCGAGGCCACTGTCTCGGAGGCGGCAATGGAGATGGGGAACACCTCCGCCGAAGCGGCCTTGTGACAACCGACCTGACCATGAATTCCTCGGCCAAAAAGGTCTCTGTGACGGCTAATCTGACCATGAGTGTGTTGACGATGAAGACAATGACAAAGGGGAGGCGGGTAAGAGGGAGGAGGAAGAGGAGGAGGAGGAGGAGGAGGAGGAGGAGGAAGAAGATGAGACAGTTGATGGAGGGGATGATGCAGTAGAAGACGTAGGCAGTCAGGGATACTTCTGCCCATCTGGCGGCTATGTGACGCTGAAGAGGCTGGGAGATTGATAATAAACTGTTCTTCGCCGAAACCGGGTAATGGCCCAGAGGGTATGCCTTACCGAATGTATGCAAGGGATGCTGGACCCGGTTTCCAGCAGGTGCACCTCCCCACCAATAGACTGGAGCATGTTATTGTGAACGGGAAAAAAAAACTTAAAAAAACAAAAAAAAACAAAAGAGAAAGAACCACACTGTGTCTCTTCTAAACCAAACTGTATTTTGTTTTCCAGTCTTGCCGGTGATGAGCAACCGGACTGATGCCCCCCAGAATAGAAGGGGCTGCTCTTTCTTGGGAAAAAAAAAAAAAAAAAAAAAATAAATAAATAAAAAAAATGCGTGGCATTCAACTCTCAGAATCCGAAGAGCTCAATAATTTCACCCCTCTTAATGAGACTCAATCACATTTCCGAAGGGCAGCCTAGTGGGAGAGGTGGTTGGACCTCCTTTTTGTGAAATGAAAGGTAACTTTCGGCGCATCATTTACTCTCATCTTTTTTTTCTTCTCCGCTTTTCAAAACATCCACCTCCCAGCCGCAGCATTTATTTTCATCTTCATCTTTTTCTTCTCCGCTTCTCAAGAACTCCACCTCCCAGGCCTCTCCATCAAAATCCTTCACTGTCAGTCCATACACACAAAGAGGAAAACATTTCAAAAAAAAAGCTCAAGAGCTAGCAAGAACACTCTTCCCCTCCCTTGGCAATTGCACTAGTTATGCGGAGTGGTAATTGACCGTAATTTCGACGTGTGAATTGCAGGCGGAATTGCAGAGAGGTAACTGCACCGTCGTTACCTCAGCGAATTTCCATATGAACGGCAGTAATACCGTGGGAATTACACTGGTCAATTGCAATGGTAAATGGTGTGGTAGTTGCTGTGAATAATAGCGAATTTCGATTCCAAGTACAATGGGAGTGGCGGCTGTCTTTCAACGCAATGCAGGGGCAATTACTGTGGTGATCCCTGTGGTACTTGGCGTTGTGTTTTTTCTCCCCATGGCGACTGCGGTAACAGTTGTGGTGGTTAATTCCAGTGACTGCAGTAAAAGATGCATTGAGTGAGAATTGGTGTAGCACCGGAGTGGAAATTTCCGCGGTGGTTCTGTGGTGACTGGTGTGGTTATTGCCATGATGGCGATTGCTGTATCAATTTTTGTAGCAGTTAATCCCTACAACTCGCTGCCGTAACAGATGCATTTAGTGAGAACTGAACTGAAACCGGAGGGTCTGTGGGGTCAGGCCATGGCCTGGTCGCACAGGCCGAACAGGCAAAATAGCCAGATAGCCCTGGTTAATTCCAGTGACTCACTGATGAAATCCAATTAAAGACATGCTGCCTATTAGCATCATAGCATAAGTAAAAGGTAACAACGAAGCTAATCCTCCCATTTTGTGCATATCTTGTTCATCAGACATTGCATGAATCACAGAACCTGCACTATGGTTGGGGGTGACCAAGGGTTGGTCCTTCCCAGTGACCCCCTTTCACGACAGGCGGTGGTCCCCATCTTGAGTTCGTCAATTTGGGTGTCCCGTACAAGATGCATTGGGTGAGAATTGGTGTGAAACTGGAGTGACGGCGATTACGCGGTAGCAATTGCAGAGGTTAGTTCCAGCGACTCGCTGCAGGACTAGATGCAATGGAGTAAGAATCGGTGTGGAGACGGATTGATAATTACAGTCATTCATTGCCCATGTCCTCGTGCAACAGCGCATTGAAAAAGCAATGACAAAGTTTGAAGACCACAAATGAGAAGAAGACGAGGGTACCGAAAGAGGTCTTATCGTGCTGCAATAGTGCACTGAAAAAGCAATGACAAAGTGGGAAGACCATAAACGAGAAGACGACAAGTGTAGCAAACAGGTCTTACCACGCAAAGAGTAAGAAAAAAAGGGACAAAGTTGAAAACGCACAATTTAAATTTCAGTAATCAGGTGGCTGAAAATCGAAATGAGGGACAGAGCTGCGCAGCCGCCCGCCAGAATGTGATGAAACGAGCCGGCCAATTGGGTGTTGGGTTCACTACCACCTTCCGCGGAGTAGAACGTACAGTCATTATCGATGTATTAGGGGGAAACTTTCAGACTAGATACAGTGATAATGACCGTACGTTCTATTTGGGGGACGATGGCAGGACCCAATACTTTCCTTGAGTAAGTCCGGACATACTCACACACGGACTTTCTTGATTGAGGGCATACTCACCCTAAGACTTTTCTAAATGTGTCCGACTGCAACTAAGCCCAAACCTGGATGAACCCGACTGCAATCACGTCTAGAGCCTAGTAGAAAAAGTCCTAGTGGGAGTACACCCCGAATCCGGCCATACCCTACCCGATGCATTCAGGAAGGTTCCAGTGCGACTATGCCCTCAGTCACTTTTGCCGACTCTGATCCAAGACGCCGGAGCTGGTTCGGCACAGTCAGAGAGGCGGATAAAAGCATGCACATACTAGAAATGTGCTAGCATACCATCCTCCCTTCCTCTCCGATCATCCCCTAAGCCAAACAAACTAGTCCAGAACAGATCTCACACTTCCATTCCTCTTTTCTACTCCCGTCTACCTCCTTCCTTCTCTGTCCCCATACGATCTCGGCGGTTTCCCTTTTGACTTTCGATCTTACACCCAAAGGTCTGTCTTCGCGATGCTCAGTTGCACCTCCACCAACCTCAAGGACAACCTTTCCTCCCTTGTTATCCCTCTTCTCTCCTGGGAAGAGAAGATGGAGTCTATGCCGAGTGTTCTCTGCCCTTTTGACCCTGCCTCACCCTTCCAGCCTGCTACGTAGTCACAAGCTGGGGACCACATCAAAGACACAGGGTGACAGAGTGCATATTTCTTCCTCTTCCTCCTCCTCCTTTCCCTCCCTCCCTCCTATTTTCCGTCCCTCTCCCGCCTCCAACCATCTCGAAAGAGGCCCGAAAGCGTAGTAAAGTTAACACAAAACCTACATTTGTCCTCTTTCCTCCCCTCTTCCCCTCTCTCCTCTCCTCTATCCCATGGTCAACGGCTCCATCAATGAATGGCATGCTCACCGTTCCATCCTGGCATCAGGATTACGTGGTTATCAATGCGTGCAGTCCATGTTGCCATATACACCCCAATCCTTATCTATACAGCAAAACGGGCCTCGCCAACAAACATCACACATACATTCCATCTTTGAAGCAGAAGCATCCAGTTCTCAATTTGCCGTCCAGTCCGTCATGCACTCTTCATCCACTCCTTGCGTACATAGTTGAGATCCGCTACTCACCTCCCCGAGAATTACAAATCGCACAATGACAGATGATGCAGCTCACAGGATGCCCGCTTCCACCATCCCTGACATCGCAGTCTCTGCCATTCCCCCCGACATGACAGCAATCGTTTTCTTCTCTCTTCTTCTTTTCTTTGAAAAGGCGACGGCCTTGAGATATCATCATTAAACTGACCAGCCCCAGGTAAGTCAGAACTATTTCAATCTGTTTATTGGACGGACTGCATCTGGATTTGAACTTGGGTCTGTACTTCAACAGTTCAAGGGTGTACCAGCTGAGCTCGCCGTGCTTGACGGCAATCTATATCTCCTGATAGCCATATCTCCTCTGACATGCACCGACTTGTGGAGGAATGTGGCTACCTTGCTTGTGGCTGGTCATCCATACTGTCGCTGCAGGCAAGACCAGAGAAGCTTGTCAGAATGAGAGTGCTGTAGGGAAAAATCAAAGGTCATAAATTATTATACTTTGATAACAACAATTGATCAAAATCGTTAGCGCGAATGGATAAAAATAAATCATGAAATGTTATACATTATGACAAGTACAGCTGCTCATCAAGAAGACATCAACCAATGCAGACAAGAAACAAACTACCAAGTCAACAAAGTGGTTACCTCGAACACACCTCCAAACAGCACCCAACTCCAGTCCCATCCAGACTTGCAAAAAAAGACATCTTCAAAAGTATCAGTCCTGTACCAGTCGCCATCCCACGGTCCCACGTACCACTGGCCACATCGCACAGGTAAGTGAGCTGAGTCTTGACCCGTTCGGTAGGTCCTGTACGTAGTGCGTCTGTACGGTCCGGTCGAGTCCATTCAGTCCGTACAGTTCAGTCTGCGTCTAGTTTGTCGGCACAGTCCGTATCGTTCAGCCTGTACGTAGTGCGCCTGTACGGTCCAGCCAGCGGCCCAATTCTCAAGAAAGTCCGTGATTCTGGATGCGTCGAAGGCCAGCCGCGTCCAGCAAATAAGGTTACCTTTCCGAGAAGTCTGAGATTGGAGACTGAAGCATCGCATACAGAGTATTTACTGCAGCAAAGCGTCAAAATCTTTCAACTCGAGTTGGTTGCAGAAGCGCTGGTGCGGTCATGTGCAACCAAGTACCGAGTGAGACTGGACGTGTGCAGTTAAGCAGCGGTGGTCAACGGCGCCAGGCACCATGGCTGGAGAGAGAGAGAGAGAGAGAGAGAGAGAGAGAGAGAGAGAGAGA